CATCATCAACGGGACAGATTTGACAGAGGTTACCTCCTTCACTTATCTAGGAAGCATCGTTTCAACTACAAGCAGTTGGTACGGATGAAGATGTCAAAGCCAACCAGCTGGAATCATAAAGGCAAGATACGCCTTCATCAACCTGAAACCAGTTTGAAAATCTGCTTCACTCAAACAGCATGAGGGATAAGATTCAGATTTTCAACACCAATGTCTAATCAGATAGTGCTTCTATTATTATTGTTTCCTTTAATGCCTAGAGGAACATAGGAATCCAACCACACCTCTCCATTGCATTCGGTTCTCTGCCAACGTTTTCACCTGGCTCCACGTCTACCCACATGCTTTCATCTCCTCCTCATATCACCTCGTCCATGTCACTCTCGCACTAACAATCAACTCATTCACCACTTCCCATTCCGGTTCCACTCGACCGATGGCCTGGCGTGTGATGTCATTTAATGGTTTTCTCAGAGTATGGCCGATCCAATTCACCTCCATTTCTTCCTGCCTATTTGTTGCACAATCGGTTCCTACTGGGTTAGTTCGCTCCCAGAGGTTGAGGTTTTCTGGCCGGCCATCTGATCTTGAGTAGTGTTGAGCGAAAACAGCTGTTGATGAATGTCTGTAGTTCGTTCTAAGTGCCCTTCGTGAAACGGCGCCAAGTAGCACTGACTTCACATTGGAGTTGGGGATCTGCATCTTATTTTTGATGCTGAGTGCTTGTGACCTCCACGCAAACTTGAGAGTAATGAAAGCTTTCGCTTCTTTCCCAATCCTCGCCTTGATGTTCTCGTCAGTTCCATCCGCCTGTAGCTGAAACGATGCTTCCTAGGTAGGTGAAGGAGATTGATTCTTTCAGATTTCTCCCATTTATGCTGATTGTTGTCTGTTGGCCAGGAAGGAGAAGACTCAATGTAAAGTTGTACAAGAGAAGGAGAAGATGACCTCAATGTACACTGCACTGAATAAAGAAGTGAAGAAGAGTGCTGGAAAAGACAAACGACAATTCTACGACACAGTGGCAAGTGAAGTAGAACAGGCGGCAGGTGAAAGAGACTTCAGGACATTATATCATATAACCCGGTCTCTATCCGGGAAGAGATCAACCGAAATGATGAAACCAATGAAAGATGTTCAAGAAGACCTGATTATCAAGGAGGAGAATCAAGTAAAACAATGAAATGATCACTTCAAAGGACTCTTGAATCGCCCATCACCTGAAACCCTCCCAGAAATGCCACCATCAGCACGCACAGAACTGCCTGCCAGTGGACACCAGTTCTCCAAGGAAATCAGAAATCCTAAATGCGATCAGGCTACTGAAGTTCAGTAGGGAAGCCAGCAGGGCCAAATGGAGTTCCCCCCGAAGCACTGAAGAGGGACTCAGAGGCTGCCGTAGATGTTCTCGCCTTATTATTACAAAAGGTTTGGAAGGAAGGATAGGTGCCTACTGACTGGGAGAAAGGCTACCTCCTCAAGCTGCCAAAGAATGGCGACCTAGGCCTCTGCAAGAACTTGTCGATGCCAAGTAAAATACTGAGTCGCGTCATCCTGAAGAGAGTAAAAGATGCACTGGATACAGAACTTCACCCCACCGACCAGAACAAAGTGGACTCAGGATGGGCAAATCATGTGCTGAACAACTTGCAACTCTAGTCATCGTCATCACACAACAAAGCATAGAATGGCAGTCAAACCTCTCCCTACCTCAACTTCATTGACTTTGGAAAAGCCTTCATTAGACAGCGTTAATGGAAAGGTAATTTGGGAACTACTTCAACACTACGGTGTACCTCAAGTCTTTATCAAGCTTATTCAACAGCTATATGACAATGCTACGTATCAGGTGATCCACAACGGGAAACTCAGCGAGGCTTATCATCACCCACAATGATATTCTTAATTGTAGTCGACTGGATTATGCGAAAGACTGTGGGAAGCGAGGAGTCAGCAGTAGGCTGGACTACCGATAAGAAGACTCTAGAAGCTCTGGATTTCGCAGATGATATATGTCTAATGTCACACAAACTCGAAGACTTGCAGGCGAAAAGTGGCAAACTGGCTGAAGAGACTGGCAACGAAGACAGTACTGTAGGTGAACATAGAGAAGACGAAGATGATGAAGATAACCAAACAACAGCAACAACAACAACCAGCGCCGGTCATCATCAACGGGACAGATTTGACAGAGGTTACCTCCTTCACTTATCTAGGAAGCATCGTTTCAACTACAAGCAGTTGGTACGGATGAAGATGTCAAAGCCAACCAGCTGGAATCATAAAGGCAAGATACGCCTTCATCAACCTGAAACCAGTTTGAAAATCTGCTTCACTCAGCCAGCATGAGGGATAAGATTCAGATTTTCAACACCAATGTCTAATCAGATAGTGCTTCTATTATTATTGTTTCCTTTAATGCCTAGAGGAACATAGGAATCCAACCACACCTCTCCATTGCATTCGGTTCTCTGCCAACGTTTTCACCTGGCTCCACGTCTACCCACATGCTTTCATCTCCGCCTCATATCACCTCGTCCATGTCACTCTCGCACTAACAATCAACTCATTCACCACTTCCCATTCCGGTTCCACTCGACCGATGGCCTGGCGTGTGATGTCATTTAATGGTTTTCTCAGAGTATGGCCGATCCAATTCACCTCCATTTCTTCCTGCCTATTTGTTGCACAATCGGTTCCTACTGGGTTAGTTCGCTCCCAGAGGTTGAGGTTTTCTGGCCGGCCATCTGATCTTGAGTAGTGTTGAGCGAAAACAGCTGTTGATGAATGTCTGTAGTTCGTTCTAAGTGCCCTTCGTGAAACGGCGCCAAGTAGCACTGACTTCACATTGGAGTTGGGGATCTGCATCTTATTTTTGATGCTGAGTGCTTGTGACCTCCACGCAAACTTGAGAGTAATGAAAGCTTTCGCTTCTTTCCCAATCCTCGCCTTGATGTTCTCGTCAGTTCCATCCGCCTGTAGCTGAAACGATGCTTCCTAGGTAGGTGAAGGAGATTGATTCTTTCAGATTTCTCCCATTTATGCTGATTGTTGTCTGTTGTTCAGGTATTCTCATTACCTCTCTCTTCTCTATGTTCATATGAAATGAAATCCTCTGTTTGATGCTTGTATGCGGGTCTTGAACGTGCACTGCGTATGAAGAAGGGGATTTGCAACATGTTGTAGATTTTTATGAGCAGCTGCCTTTCCTGGCTCCATACTGAAGATTAAATAACAAGAAAGTATGAGCAACAAGAAACTTTGGGAACAAACCAACCAATAGCCGATTGCTGCACAAATTTGTAGGAGAAAATGGAGATGACTCGCATATACGCTGAAGAGGCTGTCAAATTACATCGCGGCCTAGGCCATTGTTCGAGTGGAATCCAAATGGGAGGCGACGAGTGGGTCGTCCTAGGGTGACGTGGAGGAGATCGTGTGAGGAAGAGATGAGAGACTGTGGGCAATCGTGTACCAAGCTGAATAGGATGGCAGAAAATAGAAGAAAGGGATGTATTGTTGAAGTCCTATGTTCCACTCGGAACCCGAGAGAACACTAATAATGATAATATGCCTATCATTACCCTAAACATACTGTGTTTACTAAAATGAAACCAATGTGTGACTCCGCCCCTTCAAAGAATGTGTAAGAACACTTCTGCGTAAGAATGGATTTCTATAAAGACAGTATCCTACTGAAGGTAAGAGACTCCAACACTTGTGGATTTTTATTAGACCTCATGATGATTCACCAATTGCTTGCGTTGATATGTCACATGCAAGAATGCTAATTCTGTCAGTTTCTCTTTCCCATTTTGAGGTTATCAAGATTAATATTGGTATTTGTGTCGCCTTATCTAATTTGTCCGTCTGTTTTCGACAGAGAACTTTGCACCGATGTGAAGCAGTTCAAGTCGCCACACTCCATGTAGGACACAAAACAAGAGAAGAAATGCATAATAGAGACTGTAAACAGAGGTGTGAGACAAAGGAATAGTAATAACGAAGAACAACATAGTTTCATTGGAAATCATAAGTCACAGGGAGTGGATGTATCTGCGCCAGACATTCACAACGATTATGAGCCATATCACCAATTGTCTACATTGGTTTTTACCGTGCCGTAGACCCCAACCACGAAGTCTAAACCTTCCTACGTGGTTGGCTTAAACTAACTGTTGTGGATTTCATTGATTGATGAAGTCATGTTTTGGTTTGACCACTAGCTAACTCTTCTCTAGCCTGATCCTATGTCAGCTAACATCGCCCGTTGAAGAATACGTGATACATGTCCTAACTGTCTCAATCGGTGTAACTTCACAACCTCATCGATTGATTTCCCCTCCCTAACCTCAATATTGCTCACCTTATTATACCACTTCACACGGGAGATAGAACACGGGCACCTATGATCAAAGACGGCTAGCCACGCTTTTCATGTCTTCCACTCTCAATGACCAGGTCTCACAACCAGCCATAAAGGAGGACGGAGCAGATTGCTGAGCAGTGCACACTTCGACAGCCAGATATCACGCGAGAGACACGGCGTAAACTGGCATATGCGAAACGAGACTTCTGTATCAAACGAGCAAACACTAGTGATTACTAGGACAAGGTGATCCAGGCCAGTAAACGAGTCGTTGCACTAGAAAAGAATGCTACATTAGATAACGCTAAAAACCGGTCGATGAAAAAAAGAAATACCCATTGAATTGGAAAACTACTAACACAAAGAAGATCACTAAATGCATTACTTGGAAGTCATATTAGTAAAAAAGCTTTTATTCTTGACTTCGTTATACGACGATGAATAGAGAAAAAATCGACAGCTAAAAACCACAATCATTCAAAATAAAATGGGGAATAACAAAATACAATTGTGTTCAAATATGAATAAAGTAATCTAGTTCTGTTACTCCATTATTCTTTTGTATACATACATAAAATGTGTACAAACAATCAAAAATACAAGAAACTGAAGTGTACTAAGAAATGATAGATTATCCCATCAAACTGTCATCAATATGAGTAGACTCAAAACTTGCATCATCCATGTTAATTGACAGAAGTAGTCTATCCTCGTTATCATTTTCATTGTACATCTTAACTTTTTTCACTTGAACCTTTTCGTTAGATTTAGTTTTGTCACTCTGTAGAATCTTTCGAGCTTCTTCAAAATATTGGTTTGGATGGTGAATAGTCACTCCGGATATATCGTCTACACTTAATTTCAACATTCCGCGTAAATATTCACGACAGCTGAGATGATAAAGTCTTTCTTTTGATCGTTGTACAATAGTTTCTACTATATCTGATGACAAATGGCCACCGGATAAAAGGCGTTGTCGGAGAAGTTCTGGATCCATATGTCGGAAAGGACAACCGTGGTAATCTCCTCCAGCAGGAGCACTGCCTGATATAATCTAAAACAAAAGTACAAGTTCTGTCAGATACAATAATACACCCTTTAACTAAACGTTTGTGAGTGACGAATGTCTAAAGGAGGTATGAGTGTACCATACTACATGAATCAAAATGCCTGAAGGGATAGTCTGCATTAACTGTTGCACGCCTACAACCGATATTTAGTCCCATCCCATTTGATGGATAAGTACATCAAAAAATGTCTATATAATAAAGTGGTCATTAGAGTCATAACGAAACAATATTCTACTACACAGAAGTTCACTCAATTCTGATTTACAGTTACAGATTTGGAGAATTTGATGCTAAACATATTTGGTTATAGGGTGTGTAGAGGTTTATAAAAGATAAAGTATTCAGTTAAGTTGAAAACTTGATCTGGGTGGGATACCTGGCACACGTATTACGCTTGCCAAGACACTTTTGCTTTCACAATTCAATGCTGAAAAGCTCAAGAAAAAAAGACTGAAACGTGATATTTAATCATGGAGTTGTAATACACGGAGGCATCACTGATTGTTTGCGACTCTAAGTATTTCACTTACGCGAGTTCAGGTTGCTAGGTGGTACCATCGTCTGTCTGTTTTCGACATAGAACTTTGCACAAATGTGTGGAAGTTCAAGTCGCCACATTCCGTGTAGCACGCGAAGCAAGAGAAGAAAGTACAAGAAAAGCATAATAGAAACAGTGAGCAGAGGTGTGAGACAAAGGGGTAATAAAGAAATACAAAACAATTTCATTGAAGATCATAAGTCACAGGGAGTGAATGCATCTGCGCCACTGAGAACGATTTTGAGCCATGTCACCAATTGTTTCCAACCATAGATTTTTGCCGTCCCGAGGACCCCAGCCTGGAAGTCTACACCTTCCTACGTGGCTAAGACCAACTGTTGTGGATTTCATTGACTGATGCCAAGTTTTTGTTTGACCGCCGCTAGCTTTTTTCCAGCCTGACCCTATATCAGCCAAAATTGCTCATCGAGGGAGGCGATGACTTGGCATACGCAACACATGTCCTAACCATCTCAGTCTTTGTAACTTCACTACTTCGTCGATTGATTTCCCCAGTTTACCTAGAACTCGACACCTAACTTCAGTTTTGCTCACCTTATTATGCCACTTTACACAGGAAATAGAGCGCAGGCACCTATGCTCAAAGACAGCTAGTGTTTTCATGTCTTCCACTCTCAGTGGCCAGGTCTCACAACCATAAAGGAGGACGGAGCGGACTGATGAGCAGTACACCCGCCCTTTGGTCGATAGTCGAACATCTCGTCTACGCCAGAGTCGGCGTAAACTAACAAATGCGAAACGAGCCCCTTGTATTCGTTCTGAGATTTCGTCAGAGATCAGCCCGTTGGGGCTGATGGTACCATCGACTCCTTATACAACAGATTTGGCTTATTGCCGCCAAGCGTAGGTGAATGCGAGTGGTTTTTGAGTAGCATTTCATTTATTGGTTTTATGGACAGATATTTGTTACAGTGGCCAGAATACGTTTTGTCATTTTTGTCTAAAGCCTACACATTTTACTACTTCTTATTGAGCTGCTGCTTACTTTTCAAACTTGTAGCAATACACTTGCTATGGGGTCATGATTTATAGTGTATTTGTATAATAATTTCATATTTTTACGTGTATGTTGTACAGCGCTTATCTTCCGTTCTATTCCCAATTTAATCAAAGCATCTTTTAGTAAAATCATACTCTAAATAAAACCATATTTGTAGATATATTGTCTCATAGAATCTTAACAGAATATTACGAGTACGTAATGTTACGATTGACAGTTGCTTTAATAACACCGAAATTAATTGTATGTATTGACATTACAATTATCTGTTAACGAGAGGGCAATTCCTGAGAAGTTTGTCAGTATCTTGAAAACCCTGTACAAAACACTCTAGGCAGTGTGATGGCATGCAACCATCCAACATAACTGCTCTAAACAAGCAGTGCTATTATGCTGTAAATCCAAAGAATAACCCTGAACGCCAAACATGGCAGTGATATAAATATAACAACCAAAACAAAAGCCATGAAATCGCAGCTAACCAGCTGGAGTCTTACATGTATTCGATTTGTTTTTGAACTGTTAATATACAGGATTAATAAGGACACAAGCCTATAATCTTACTCGATCAGTTTAGTGGCATATGTCCTGAAGAGGTGGAGAACATCATTCACAGAATTCCGCTCCCGCTCCAGGGAATACTTTAATCGCCTGAACAAGTGTTACAAATATCATACAAAAGGTTTCCATATTATTTACTGAGACTCATTGGAAGAAGTGGAATGGTTATCTGAGTATGATTTAGCATTTTGAGATGGACAGATGTCACTGGATCACAACTGTTTGCAGGGAATCCGACGGTGGCTGAAAACGTTATCCAATATAGCTCAGAGCTGAAATCAATGGTAACCATAATTAGCTTTTTATTACTAAAGTGAGAGCAGCAAAGCATTCAGCAGTCCTTCAAATATGATTAATAATTATTTTTTTCTCTTTAATACCTAGAGGAACATAGAGATTCAGCCACACCTCTCCATTGCGTTCGATTCTCTGCCAACGTTTTCACCTGGCTCCACGTCTACCCACATGCTTTCATCTCCTCCTCATATCACCTCGTCCATGTCACTCTCGCACTAACAATCAACTCATTCACCACTTCTCATTCCGGTTCCACTCGACCGATGGCCTGGCGTGTGATGTCATTTAATGGTTTTCTCAGAGTATGGCCGATCCAATTCACCTCCATTTCTTCCTGCCTATTTGTTGCACAATCGGTTCCTACTGGGTTAGTTCGCTCCCAGAGGTTGAGGTTTTCTGGCCGGCCATCTGATCTTGAGTAGTGTTGAGCGAAAACAGCTGTTGATGAATGTCTGTAGTTCGTTCTAAGTGCCCTTCGTGAAACGGCGCCAAGTAGCACTGACTTCACATTGGAGTTGGGGATCTGCATCTTATTTTTGATGCTGAGTGCTTGTGACCTCCACGCAAACTTGAGAGTAATGAAAGCTTTCGTTTCTTTTCCAATCCTCGCCTTGATGTTCTCGTCAGTTCCATCCGCCTGTAGTTGAAACGATGCTCCCTAGGCAGGTGAAGGAAGTCTGTCTGGGTTCAACATAGTTCGAGTTGCCACGTTCCAAATAGCACACAGAGGTAGACAAGAAGATGAGTAAAGAGAATCAACAGAGTTTGACAAGTATAAGAGTGAAACAGAATGGGTAATGGTAGAAAGGAATATGAAAGATTACAGAGACTGAATACACCTGCGCCACTGACAACGATTTTGAGCCATGTCACCTATTGTCTCCAGCCATTGATTCCTAGAGTCCCGAGGGCCCCAACCCGGAAGTCTGCATCTCCCTACCTGCTGACTCAGTTTAACTGTCAAGGATTTCATGGATTGACGAGGCCATGTTTTTGTTTGGCCACCACTGGCTCTTTTCCAACCTTCACCTATATCAGCTAGTAATGCCCGTTGGGGGAGCCGATGGTTAGGCATGCACAGCACGTGACCTAGTTATCTCAATCTATGTAACTTTGTAGCCTCGTCGATTGATTTTCCCTCTTTGCCCAACACTCTACGCCTAACGTCAACATTACTTACCTTATTAAACCACCTAACGTGAGAAAGAGATCGCAGACATCTATGATCGAAAGCAGTCAACCTTTTCAGGTCTTCAACTCGTATTGGCCATGTTTCAGAGCCATAGAGAAGGACGGAGCGAACTGCTGAGCAGTACACACGTCCCTTGGTTGAAAGCCGGATGTCACGCCTACGCCAGAGATGGTGTAAGTCAGCGAAAGCAGCTCGAGCTTTTTGGATCCGTGCTGAGATTTCTTCACCAATCAGTCCGTTGGTGCTGATACAACTTCCCAAATAGGTGAAGTAGTCAACATGTTCTATCACTTCACTCCCCATCACTAAGCTAGGAGTTGACGTAGTCCAGTCCTGTAGCAGCATCTTACATTTTGTAGGGGCGAATCACATCCCATTTATGCCGATTTCTGTTGCTACTGACCAGGAATCTTTATCACCTCTGAGTTCTCTATGTTCACCTGAAGGCCCATCTTTTCCGGATGTTTCTTCTGCCAACTTGTTGCTTCTCACTTGCATATCTTCCAGTTTGTGGGAAATCAGACACATATCATCGGCGAAGTCCAGATCTTCCAAGATTTTGTGTGGGTTCATTTTATGCCTGTTTCCCCGCTGCCCGTTGTCTATCGCATTATCTAGTCTACCACAATCAGGAAAATCATTTGAGATAGTAGACAGCCAGTTGTTTTTACTTCCTTCTTCACTTCGAAGGATTCCTTAATTTCCCGTTTTGAATTACTTGGCATGCAGCATTATTGTACAACTGTTCGATGAGGTATATAATTATTGGCGGCACCCCGTAGTAGTGAAGTAGTTTCCAAATCACCTCTCGGTCGACGCTATCGAAGACATTTTCAAAATCAATGAGTTTAAGGAAGAGAGCTGACTGTAATTCCGTAGTATAGCGATTTGATCGATGCATGATCTGTTTCTCCTGAATCGAAGTTTTTCATCTAGGGCGTGTTTGATTCTCTCCAGAATGATGCAGTTTAGTATTTTGCTTGGGGTACACAAGAGAGTAGTGCCGCGCCAGTTCTTGCACTGACTTAAGTCTCTTCTCTTCAGCAGTTTGAATTAGAAGCCTTCCTTCCAATCCTCAGGTACCTTGCCCTCTTTCCACACCTTCTCCAGTAGTGGTGTCACCAAGTCCGCTGATGTCTGTCCATTTTCAATACTTCTGCTGGTATTCCGTCTGGTCCTGCTGCTTTTCCAGTTTCTAGAATCCGGATTTCTGTTCTCGTTGGAGGGTTCCACTGGTAGTTCTGCCTCCACTGTTAGTATTATTGGGGCGTTGTAGGTGGCGATCGATTTAGAAGTCTTTTGAAGTGTTCAGCCCAACGTTTCCTTTGCTCCACCTTTTTGGTGATTAGCTTTCCATTGTCATCCTTCACTGGCTTAATCTGTGTCGAACTTTTGCCCGATAGGTGCCTAGTTGTTTGGTAGAGTGTGGCGAGGTCTCCTTTGCCTACAGCTTGTTCTGCTTCACTTGTCATAGCTATATAATATTTTCTTTTGTCTTCCTTGGCACTCTTCTTTACTTCTATGTTCAGTGTATTGAAGCTTGCATTCAACTACTGTTTTTGTTGCTCGTCAATGCACTGGATAATCTTTTGTTTCACCATCCTTCTCTCTTCTATTAGTCTCTAAGTATCCTCAGTGAGCCACTGTTTGTCCTGCCTCTTCTTTCTGCCTAGAACTTCCATGCAGGTTTGACTCCACACTGCTTTCAGGCTGTTCCAGTGTTTTTCAACTTTGGTCTCTTCGCTAGTGATGATCTGTCTCTCCGCCTTTTTCCTTAACTTTGCAGTGAAGATGTCGTTTGTGGCCTGATCCTTCAGTTTTTGAGTGTTAAACTTGGCCTGTGACCTGTTTAGCTCAACCAAAATGATTACCTATCAACTTTATTCTTCTTGAAGTATCTTCATCGTATAGCTGTTGGTTGCTTGATTTTATGTGGCACATTTTTTCGCGCTATAACTGCATCAGCTTTTTGTTCAAAGCACAATATTGATAAGTTTTTATGTGCCTTATATGCTAATTATGGAGAAACAGAATACTACGGCTTAAGCATAGGAAAAGAAGTAAGCTACGCTTGATAAACACTGTATGACAACAACAGTTATAGCCAACTGGCTTTATATACCTAGGACATTTAATGTTTTGGAATTCAGATGCAAAGAAACCAAGTCTCTGCAGCAATACAGTATTCTTTAAATATAAACACATATTTAAACCGGAATCTATACTTAAAAATGCACACATAGAATTCACAACCACGCAAAGTAAAAGGCTGTGGTAATTATAGAATGAGATAATATATCACGGATTATTTGTCATAGCACAACAAACGTTAAAACATAAATTACCTTGATACAAGAGTAAGGCGTATAATCTGCACGTTTCCCCTCCTTTCCATAATTGTGTCTGATGTTATACGCATAAGCTTTGTTAAACTGATCACTGTCGTATTTAGGCGAGAATGCACTGCGCCAAAACTTTAGAGACTCCTCCAAAGGCAATCCAATACCCTGGAATGAAAACAAAACACACAATGGTGACTGACCATATTGAGTAGGCTGTGTAGCTGAAACTCTACAACGGTGCAATAGGAATAGATACCAGCAGAAAGCCGCTTTATCAGAATGATATCAGTGCTCGCGTGTAACGTGGCATGAACAGTGGTGTCGTTTCAAAGAAACACTACCAGGTTATCTAGAGATTAAGACCAACTACCATATGGCATGTAACTGCCAAAGAGTAGTCGAAAACTGGTGAACCCGGGATACCTGTATGAACTATGCATAGACGACTTGAAAGCAATAAATACGCAGTCGTTAGAAAGATGTGTCCACCTTTAAAAATAACTGCTTACAAATTCATAAACTATCTTGGAAATAACATCACTGTTAACACAAATATACGATAATGGGGACCTAGAAAAAGAATATATGCATCCTGAGTGTGATGATAACTGAAAGAAAACGTGTGTGTGTATGGGGGGGAATGAATGCATATGATGATGGTAGCGTCATCAAACTTTAACAGTGATTATAGGCCTTATGATCGATACAGCGTTTTGAACCAATCGACATATCTAATTCTAAACTGCCTACTCTGATGAGAGTACACAACTTCACTAATTGTTTGCCTACCAACCTTAATAATTAGCTACTGCGCTATAGTCTTAATATCAATTGACATTTCACCCAACCTAATACAAGCAACTGAATGAAGGTATGTATTGTCGACATCCAACAAAGTCTATGTCACTTACACAATGACAGGTCGAAGTACACGCACAATTCGAAGATCTATATGACCATTTGAAGCCTCTTACTCCCGTTTCTGAAGATCATCACAGTTGGTTCAAAGCAAAGTTAGTGGACATTGCTCACCAATTTTGCAATAGTCGTACATTTCAGAAAAGTATCCTAACACCTGAGCACTTTAAACCGCTAAAAGAACTCAAACATAATACTGATATCGTTATCCTCAGACCAGATAAAGGGTCTGGTGTAGTTATAATAGACAAAATTGAATATAAAAGTAAAATGTTATGCAATCTTGGAAACAACGATAAATTTATGAGAGACTCCGGTCCTGAGGATGTTAAGAATGTACAAAATATGGTGACAAATAATCTAGTAAAACTCTTAAACATGAATGCAATTAACAGAGAGAAATTCAACTCACTAAAGCCCACGCAGTCCCAACTACCACACATGTATGGTTTGCCCAAAACACATAAACCTAACATTCCTGTACGTCCCATAATGTGCAGATCTCCAACCCACAAACTTGCACAGTGGCTAGTGGAAATACTAGAACCTGTTAGAAGAAGTTTCTGTAAGTTCTCTTTGAAAGACACTTTTGAGTTAATTGATTGTCTTGATAACGTTAATATAAAGGACAAAACCATATTTTCCCTAGATGTTGAATCTTTATATACAAATGTACCTCTTTTAAAGACGGTTGACATTTTATGTGACTTCATTTCTGACAACGATTTCCTATTACCAGTATCTACATCTTACTTAAAAGAGTTACTGCTTCTTTGTAATAACAATATTAAGTTTACATTCGAGGGCGAGCATTATCGCCAGATCGATGGTGTCGCTATGGGAAGCCCCCTAGGTTCATTGTTATCTGATATATATATATATGTTGCATGTTGAGAACCTAGTGGAGAGAGAAATTGGAAAAGTGTATTTCTATAAAAGATATGTAGATGACATAATAGTTATTTGTGATCAACCGACGGACGCCATAGAAATCCTAAACCAGATCAACACAGCACAAAACAGCATATCGCTAACTTATGTTAAAGAGAATAATGGATGCCTACCATTTTTAGGCGTACTCATAACCCGCCGAGAAGATGGGTCAGTAAAACGATCTGTCTACAGAAAGTCAACATGGACTGGACAGTATCTAAATTACCATAGTTTCTGTCCACTACAGTATAAAAAGGCGTTGGTTAAATGTCTGTTCAAGCGCGTTCACCGTATATGTACCGCTGATACAATTGAAGAAGAAAGACAACATCTCACTGAAATATTGTTAGATAACAATTACCCACTGAGATTTATTAGACATTACGGAAGTGTCAACCATATAGTTTTACCAATCCAATCAGTTCCCAAAAAGGATGTCTACATATCCTTGCCGTTCAGAGGTGATCAACAAAGTCTAGTCACTAGACAAAGATTTAAGGATGCAATTAATAGAATCTATTATGCAGCTAAACTTATCTTCATAGAGAAAACGAGAACTACGCTGTCCTGAAACCCTCACATTATCCGGACGATAGTGTCTCATCCCACTGTGTTTATCAATTTACATGTATGTGTGGTGACACGTATATAGGGACAACCCATCGGTCTCTGCATGTTAGGGCTACAGAACACATTCCAAAGTGGCTGCAACAACAAATGAAATCGTCAGATACAATTGACGCCGGAAATAGATGTCCAACATCATCTATAGCGAAGCATATTATAGAGACGGGTCATAAGGTTGATTTTAAAAATGCCTTTAAGCCGATATATAAAACAAGGTTGGGTCACATACTTAAATTCATTGAGGCCTTAGCCATAAAAAGACTTAAACCTGTCTTATGTGTCCAAAAGTTATTTGTTATCACCTTAAACCTGCCTTGGTATTCCAATTTAGAACCAAGGACCAATTTACTTCATAATATTTTCAAACCCCTTCTTTGCCTTGTTTTTCCTCTTTTTATCTTTCTTACCCACATCTTTTGCGTCTCCATACCCATTATTTGTGACCTTGACCTGTATTGTAATTATTCATGCCTTCTATAAAAACTGTGTATGACAAGTACGTGTGTGATCAGAATGTCCGAAATGTGTTGCGTCAATACATTACACGTTTCAGATAAACTACGTCTTCTTATTGTGTTGTCGAAATGACAGGTTGAATTGTTGTGCAATGTATTTGTTTTATGATGGACAATCAGATATCACATTTGCTAGAGAGATAACGCAAGGAGCATAAGCTTTTATGCCTAATATGTCTTTTAGAGAAGCCGAAACTTCTTAAAATGAGTGAAACAGACAAGTCAACCAATTATTTCAATTCTTATTACCAAAATAGAAGTTAGTGCACTCCAGTTCTGTAGCATCATTCTATATGTTATTAAGTAAACGTATGTCATACATACATACATACTCGGATATTCGCTCTAGGGGTTCAGAATAGTTTTTTGGCATTTAATAATAATAATGCTTGTATTTCAGAACCAGTCATAAAGTGATGATTTGGTCAATGTAATATCCGGTGTCTCTCTGATTGGTCTTCATATGAATACTATATTAGTCACGCTGACTCAACTGTGGTTATCACACGAAGATGTTTTCTTTTTCAGAAAAAACAATCTGCACTAGCCATTAAGAACTACCTCCAATTTCCATACACTACCTAGGACTGTAGCCATTAGTTCTTCATATGGATAAGTAGCTGTAGAATCACAGAAAATTCTTTCTCTTTATCAATAGGGCAGCTAACGAAAAAGTATGATATCTGTAGAACTTGAAAAAGTCTTGTAAAAGAATTTGTTTTGATTTATATACTGCTCTTCCAATCTTAAATGGGAGTTTCAAACAGCATGAATATGTTTCTTAACATCCAGACTACTGCTGAAAGACCTTAAAGTTTGATGGATATCCTTTTGTGTTCACTTACAGATGGTACATATTTGGTACAAGTTATCTTACTTCTTAAAAGATTTCACAATGATCAAAATTTGATGAAGAGAAATTTTAACCAATAAGACATTAGAACAAAATCCTTGTCATTCGCTAAGTACTATTGTAGAGGTGTGACACAGAGATTGTAGGTACATTATCTTGTTAGACAGAGAGCGGCAGTTTGTGTTCATTATGACAGGGACCGTAGTTAAGTGTATTGGTATACGTTTGAGAGCTCTTTGCCAACCACTACGATGCTTCCTCCTTGATTTCTTGGGAATATGAAAGTCATTTGGTCTTAAATGATTAATAAAGTTACGAGAGTAAATGATAAATAAATGTGAGTAAACGGTAGATCGGATGCAATATGTAGATAGTATAATATCTGGCCCGAAAATTCGAACAGACAATGAGTTCCAACGGAATATTGTTCTGGCGGTAAGAATCATTTTATATGTTGGTGTTAACGTCTGAATACTATTCCCACAGTTCAATACTGCATTAGCAACAGAATACTATAAGTATTTGAACATTCTGTTTCATGTCGTTTAATGTAAGCCAAAATCGCATGCTCAGTGATAGGTTAGAGAATATAAACTATATAGATATAAATAGCTGTTTGATCACTTGAAAATATACCTGGGCTTCCGCGTCTTGCCTTCTACTGTTACACTGTAAGTACTCTTACATTAACAGAGGGAGAGTAAACGAAAGATTCTACTAGTGGATAAAGAAGTCCATAGACATAATTCACAGCGATTTCTAATTCATTGTTTTTCTCTTAATAATGTCGTACAAAGAGTCCATAATGATCCCAACTAACTCCGTGGAGATCTCCCAGTGAAGCACGGATTCAAACATCTGAAGAGGCATCAATTATCTAGGTACTGAAAATAAACCTTGTTATTAAGTGGAAACAAAAATGAAGCCTAGACGCAAGGTATCCTGTCAACAGTTTCCAACTATCTAAAATAACACCTGCTTTTCTCAGCTGTTCTAATCTTTGCAATTTTGTATTCATTAGAAAAAGTAAGAGTGGAAACGAATGCTTACAAAGTACAAATCGATTGTAACATTTGCCTAGATCAACTAATCTAACGACATTTTTAGGAGATATTAGAGTAAGCAGGATATACAGAGCAAGGATTTCTGAAGATATAAATACACTTTATAAGAATATTTAGTAAGTATTCTTCAAAATTGAAAATTTACCTTTAAAAATAGCCCGTACTGCATTCTGCCAGTATGCCGTAAATGATGATGAGCTTTCAATGCTTCATGTAGCTGTGACATACACGGTGGCAATAAACCTGGTTGCCTTGCAAGACCATCTACGTCATCAGCTTTCACTGCTCCTGATACAGCAGCTTTAGTTGAATAATCTTCACCGAGGTAACGTTGAGACAAAGAAGACAGTAGAGGTAAGACTCGATTTTCTTCACATGCAGTTCTAGAACCCAATGTTAAGCCAAGATGTGCTAAATTGCGTGACAAGCAAGTACGGAAACTAGACACAACAAGACTGACTAGATCTGGTTCCGGTACAAACGCATATCCTCCTCGAATGAAAACTCGTCTTGACCGAACAAGTTCTGGAACTTCCGTAAAATGAACCTAAAAAGAAAATAGTTAAATAGTCGAAATAAGACGTAAAATGAAAGTGAATAAAATCCATTAGAAAATATGGCGTAATAAATGGCCGCTGCAAAAACCATCAGCAGAGCTAAAAATTAAAGGTCTTATTCCTAGATAAATTTTCAAAATCTTTTAAAAGTTTACTAATGACTATTCACCAACTGACTTCTGTGTGAATTGAATGCTAACTGACAGCCTTGTAGTTGGCAGACTGGTATTCATATAATGGATTGACTGAAAATCTCCATCACGGTATGATTCGAACCAGCGGCCTACGAAATCCTCCTCCGTTGGTCCAGCATCAGATGATGTACAGATCCCAACTTACCGACTAATTTAATGTTTCATTGCAGTTATCTCCGGTAAGGCCCAATTATCAGGTGGGTGAATGGTACGTAAGTGTCCGTCCATTGAACTAGTAATTGTGGGAGGCCATCATTTATTCTATTGCTTTATTTTTTAATTATATTCATACTTGTGATTTTATCGTACACTGATTTTATCTGTTTGTATAATCACTGGTAGTATACAACTTGTATTAGACATTTTCTGATTAATTCACCATAAGACCAACGAGGTTACTGATTCCACATGGATAGGAAAAAAATACCCACTGAATACAATCAAATTTTCAGTGCTGTAAAATTATCATTGGGGGATATTTTCCAGATAACTGGACATAAATCAGTTCACACGAACTGATTGATTGTTGCTGAAGTGCACTGTTTGTTATTGGTGGGCATGACGAATAAAGCATATGCTATAATACTCCCAAAGGCTTTCAAAGTATATGCTTTATTCGTCATGTTCACCAATAACAAACAGTGAATATGCTATAATTTGAAAAAGATTACTTCTTTCACTTATTTAGGAAGCATTGTTTTAACTGCAGGCGTGACGAATGAAAACATCGAAGCAAGAACCGGAAAGGCAAGCTACACCTTCAACACTCTGAAATCAGTTTGGAAGTCTTCCGCAGTCAGCATAAAGAAAAAAAATTGGGATTTTCAACACCAATTTTAAGCCAGTCAGCTCTTCGATATGGATCAGAAACTTGGTGCGTCACAGAAAGCGTTTCTAACAGGCTACTGTAGACTTTTATGAACAGCTGCTTTCGATCTGCGTTGAAGATTAAATGGCCGGCGAGAAAGAATAAGCAACAAGAGACTCTGGCAACAAAACCAAGCAACAGCCAATTGCTCAACAAATATGCAGAAGAAAGTGGAAATGGATTGTGCACACGCTGAGGAGACCAACGGGTGACATTGCATTCAATGCAGATCATCGCTCAAGTGGAAGATGAATGGGAAATGATAAGTGGGACGTTGGTCCGAGGGTGGTGTGGAGGAGATCATGAGAGGAGGAGATGAGAGATTGTGGGGGAACGTAGGGGCAGCTTAAGTGGACCGAGAAAGATAGGACGAAATGGAGACGTGTTGTTGAAGCCCTGTGTCTTTCCCGGAACCCAAGGGAATAGTAATAATAATAATAATAATAATATAATAGTCCGTGAAATATTGTATGCACTATCAGAAAACTATTTTATTAAGATGTGAGAACGATTTAGAAAAACTGATGATAAAATCTTCTGAAAAAGGCTGGATTATTTAGTGAAGAATATTTCCAACTAGCGAGCTTAGAACAAGACGAAAGATGTCTCTAGTAAATCGCCTTTAGTAGCTGACAAAACCCAATGATTCTCGTTCTAAAAGTATATTTGGTGACATGTTACAAATATGAGAAATAGAGTGAACAACTGTCAAGAAGTGAAGTAAGAAGCTTATCAAATCATGAAATGATAAAACGGCTGAGAGAATGTAAAATTTCTTTTCAACGACATCATGACTGACTAACTGTCAAATTTGTATATAGTCTTACTTGCGTGACCTACCTTGTAAAATGCTGTGGTGTTCGAATCAATACCCGGAGTAGCCGTGCCTGCTACTAAATAATTTTGTAAATTTTGTCGTTCAGATTCTGTCATATGTGTAAAGTGAAGATGATTTTCATGCAGAAATTTTGATATAATTTCTGGGCCATGAGTAGAACTATTACGTTCATTGAGAAATCGAAAACGGAATAGGTCCACCTCCTGTTGAATAAACCAACGGCGTAGATCTTCGCTGCGACAATAAGCAACCTGATGAAAAAAGTGACAATAATGACATTTCTTGACACAACAATGCTGTACAAAACTGACACTAATATTAAACCCCCTTCAAATCATACAAATGATCTGAAATCAAACAATAGCTGTATAATTAGTTATTTCATAGTGAAACAATGTAGTTTAAATTGCTCCAAAATTAATCCTGAATATCTAGAAAAATACTATCATCCCAAGCGATAATCCTACTACGATTGTAGCGAAACCCATCCAACGCCATAACACATCACTTGACAAAATGTTTGACTTTAACATCCTGTCTCTGTCTGAATTCAACATAGAACTTGGCACCGAAGTGCACCAGTTCGAGTTGCCACGTTCCAAATAGCACACAGAGGTAGACAAGAAGATGAGTGAAGAGAATCAATAGAGTCTGACAAGTATAAGAGTGAAACAGAATGGGTAATGGTAGAAAGGAATATGAAAGATTACAGAGACTGAATACACCTGCGCCATTGACAACGATTTCGAGCCATGTCACCTATTGTCTCCAGCCATTGATTCCTAGAATCCCGAGGGGCCCAACCCGGAAGTTTGCATCTCCCTACCTGCTGACTCAGTTTAACTGTCAAGGATTTCATGGATTGATGAGGCCATGTTTTTGTTTGGCCACCACTTACTCTTTTCCAACCTTCACCTATATCAGCTAGCAATGCCCGTCGGGGGAGGCGGTGGTTAGTCATGCGCAGCACGTGACCTAGTTATCTCAATCTATGTAACTTTGTAGCCTCGTCGATTGATTTTCCCTCTTTGCCCAACACTCTACGCCTAACGTCAACATTACTTACCTTATTAAACCACCTAACGTGAGACAGAGATCGCAGACATCTATGATCGAAAGCAGTCAACCTTTTCATGTCTTCAACTCGTATTGGCCATGTTTCAGAGCCATAGAGAAGGACGGAGCGAACTGCTGAGCAGTACACACGTCCCTTGGTTGAAAGCCGGATGTCACGCCTACGCCAGAGGTGGTGTAAGTCAGCGAAAGCAGCTCGAGCGAGACTGGATGCAGGACGAATAGCTACGATTTGGATGGGTTAATTAAGCAGACTCACCTTAGTTCGAAGAGAACTTTCCGTAAGTTCATCCCGTTAAGTAACTGACTGTGAATGAACAAAAGGTTGCATAAACCGTCAATACAATTTTTTACGAGTTTGTGATTACTTAACCACGACTACATTCAACGCAACAACATTACATTGGGCGTTGAAGGTCAATACTGAAAGTCGCATAATGGTTATTCACAGCACACTACTCTGCCGTATCAATAAAACAGATAATGAAAAAGCATGACAGAAGAAAAACATTTGACTGACTGACTTATTGAAGCATAAATTTACACGAATGTGTATCAGTTCAAAGTACATACAAAATTAGGATGAAATGGAATGGAGCTGCGATGCACGAGAATGCAAAGTAGAAGGAATAATGAGGACTTTCAAAATCCGAGTGGTAACAGAGAGTAAATACATCTGCGCCATTGCAAACTAATTCACCATGCATTGATTCTTATCAGTGATCCCAACTAGGCATTATAAAACTTCATCCGTGGCTCCAACCAACAGTCCAAGACTTCACGAATTGGTACTGTTTTCACCTGACTACTTCCAACTCTTTTCCAACCTCGTTTTACATCAGCTAACATCGTTCGTTAAGGAAGGTGGTGACTTAGCGTGTGCAACAAATGTCTCAGCTACCTTATTTGATGGATGTTCACAACATAGTCGATCGGCCTTTCCTCCTTACCTTACAATAAGGCTAACCTCATTAATACTGACCATATTGAATTTAAACACCTTTCGCTGATCTTTTCATATCTTCCACTTTTAGCGGTCATTTTCCAACCACTAGGGCAAACAAATGCAAATTACACATATATTTTGATGGGTAACGGGATGTCACGCCATCACCAAAAGTGACGCATGTTGGCAAATGTCAAACTAACTTTTTTTTATCCCTGCTAACATTTTATCAAAAATTAGTCAATCGAGGCTGATGTAACTTCCCAAGTAAGTGAAGCTGTCAACAAACTAAGTCATTTTACTCCTTATCTTTAAACTATGGGTCGGTGCAGACCATTCCGGAAGCATTCTACAAGGGTGATTCGCATGCGAAGTATCTTCAGATGTATTTTTCAGCCTCTTCACCTAAGAGGATAATATCATCTGTGTACTCCAGACTAATGAGATTTTCTCTTGGTAACAAGTTAATTCCCCATTCTCGAAGTCAACCAGTACCAAGGTCCCTTAGTGTATTTACATTTAAAGTGAATAGGGATGATGACAAGCGGTGTCCCTAACGAATACCACTAGCTACTGTTATCACTTCAAATGACAACTATCCATAATCTTTACACGGCCTCATAAGTTCCAACAGAGTGGCTTGATTAGTACAATATACTCTTTCAGTATTTCCTTCAAAGGTATATATTGCCATAACACCTCTCGTTTGATAGTGTCAAATAACATCCTTGGGTCAATAAATATAGAAAGCGTTGGACACCAATATGTCTTTCTAAGGTTGAAAATATGATGAGTGCATATTCACCCAAATCTGAAACTTTCTTTGGGTTTGATCTTCCAAACTGCATTAAATTGTCCCAAGACTAGGAAAATAAAATGTCAAAGACCATGTTAATCTAGGTGATACCTGTGTAATTACTATAGGAAGATAAATTCCTTCCTCACAAAGTGAGATGACCAAAGATATATATATATATATATATATCACTCTGATGGAACTGTTCCAGATCACTCTTTACTAGCTGTTGTCTCATTCGGTTTAGACAATTCATCATCATCATCCCTAAACAGATCATTTGATCTTATTACTTTGTGGCCTTCTAGACTAAAGTCATTTCTGCAATCTCAGATAGTGGAAGGATTGGTATCTACGTCACATTCATGTAAAGGTTAGATTATGGGAAACTGCAGTGCAGCTACAGGCCAGCAGAACTGCTCCTCACGCCATTCTTCAGTCATCTCTTCTGGGAATTTTCTAAAATTCGAAGCTTCTCAGAGAGAACTCTTACCACAACCTTTTCATAATGAACCTAAGTAGTTGATATACTAACTAGTGCTGATGAAGTTTCCATTTCGACTACTTGTGAGATAATTGCAATGGCTCTTAGGCAGCTTTCTTCAAAGATAATTTTTAGGCCTGAAAGGACCTATTTATATCGGTCAGTTCTTATGAAAATCCAGACTGTTGCAGGTTATTAACAATCTTCAGTAGCAGACTGGAGGTGATGCCAGGTCTTCTTAGGGTATATTTAGTTACCTCCTTCCAAAATATGGACTTTGAGTTCTTGCTGAACGCTGAACATGTGACAGCTGCGAGCTTACTACGTTCTTTCAGTCGTACGCAAACAGATACACAGAATAATGAATTGTTACAGTTACGTCGTAACCCCCCATGATACGTTTCGAATATTATTACTATATAATTGTTTCGTCAGTTCTGCTGAAAACCGCATTTGAAAGTCATCGCATGTTTCATTATTTACCAGTTGGAGTCAAAGAAACCAGTCAAGGAAATTGCAGAACTTTCATCATTATCAACCCGAACTCGTGTGAATATTTAACGACCATGACAGCACCAGAGATACTACATTCTTACAAACCCACAGAAACCTACGTTTTGACTAGTGATGACTGTTGTGTGATTAAGACTCAGTGTGAAGCTGGCAGTATAGTTTTAGCTGGACACGAAATGTTTTTCTAGATAAAGTTGCTAGTAATAGTTACAGAGTTAAGAGGTTTGGATATTATTTGTTGGATTAAAGTAAAAGGATACTAGCTAACGAACAGAGGAATTATACACTTATGAAAATACCTGCGTGGTTTCTATTTCCAGGTAGTCCAAATCATGGTATTTGATTATTTCTTGGAGTACCTGACAGGTGATTGGACACACACATAAGTACAGTTTAATAAGTGTTGTCAGTATACATAACTTTACCAAGACATTTAAAACCCAGATAGACAATTTTGAAACCAACCTTTCCCTACCCTTAATCTTCAGAGAGGGAAAGCACTATAACTAGCTTGTTGATTGTCTGAAGGAAATCTTTACTACTGTTAGTCCTCAGATAAGCACAATGTAGTAGGCAACATACCCCAACTATTCAGCTGATCTTTCTGATATGGCAGGACTGGCAAAAACATTCATTTCAACCAGTGTAGGTGGTTGGATCATTACTTTATAGAAACCCGACCAACACATCAAGGTAGCATTTATAGACGGGGAAGGAATAAATAGAATGTTATTATGTCTAAGAATTAAATAGACAAACAAGTAGTGTATGTAAGTCATTATAGTCCAACAATTGTAACTGATAATTTCGAAGAGCCTTACATTACATCCCTAATATGTAGAGCAACGAATCACTTTATGTCCGCGGTTTATATTTCTGGTAATTTTGAGTAACCTGTCTCTATGATAGCCATATGCGAGGTTTACGGTAGGCTACATTTCTGAATGCATAACTTACCTAATATTATCACATCTTCAAGATGCTAAGAAAAGTTGTGCGGTTAAAAACTAGGTGTTAACTGAATTAACATTAGAAAAATAGCTGATAAAAAAGAAAAGAACACGTAATGCGAACTCCAGTGTAAGAAATTACATGTTAACGAAGAGTAACGCACTTGTAGAATGAAATGGGAAATTATATCTTTACGAATATCTTCCTTTGCGTTTTTACTGGAGGAAGAACATGCAGTAAAAATCTTTCCAAATCCACCTAATTTTGTCAGTTCTGTTACTACTTTGTCATCATATTCCTTGGTGCCTCTGACACAATCTTGGCCAACAGCCTCAATACATTTTAGTACTCGAATGCGTTGAACAGCATAATCTTCTAGCTCATTCAGCTCAATAGTTTCACTAGGTGGAGAGTTGTAGAACTGCAGGCGAGTAAGTTTACTTTTGGCAAGCGCTGGGGATTTGAACTCCATCAGATAATGGTAGCTTTAAAAAATCTAAAATGTGTCAGCGAAATTAAAAAATCGAAAACATTCAGTAGTTCCAACAGTCATCAATAGAAATTTTTATGTTATATAAAGATAGATTCATTGTTAAGACAATTGGATGACAAATGATTACAGAAGAGGTCATTTGTAAAATTCAAAAGATCCTTAATACTAACCAGTCGAAATAATGGAGGCTGAGTTACCACCAAAAAGTCAACTTCCGCCGCTCCAAAAGTATTTAGGAATATAGCAAGAATATTCTGGTCATATCAGTATAATTCATATAGTCGCAACTTAGCCAGAGATAAAGCATTTGCTGCTTTTGTTTCTATAAAAACTAAAGTTGATTATATACCCAGGGAAGTGGAAAGAGATACAAGTCGTCTAGGAACTGGACGAAAAGTGACTGAGCTGTTGCACGTCTAATTTAAGAAGTTAGGTATTTAAGTACAGAAGGTGGCAACTAAAAGAATGGAGATTGCTCGGCGTAGTCAGTAGAGCACAGAGTGAACAGTACCCTAAATCTGAATCAAGTCATGGGTGAAATCACTACTGTAACAAATTTTTCCACAACCAAGCCATCAAACTGTAACTTCCCTACACCCTATATGCGCCTTCTTCTGATGAACCACCGCATATGACTCTATTAAATGATTCACATGACTTGTATATATTTTATATATTACGCAGTTCGTAAATACGTTGTATACAGACAGTTAGGGTGTTGAAATTCCAAAATCTCCTAATTACAAATATAACAAATTGCCCAAGAAAAGGTGAAAAAACGGTCTAGACGGGTTATATAAACTGTAATCTCTAATTTTTCAACGGAATATTTTGAAGGCACATACACACATGGCTGCAACATGATGGTTTGAGTGGGCTTAAGCTCATAGCACAACAAGTATGGTAGAATAAGGTAGTTGTGTACAGTCGGTCTACCAAAGGAGAATGCTCTCGAGTGGTATGGCAACAGGATGACAGTGCATGGCACTTTGATCTCTCAAGAGACTGGGATGAGTGTATTCAGTTCTCCTGAAAGCTAATGTATAGGTGCCCCGTTTGCGGATGAATCGTTATGTGAAAGAAAATGCTCCCAATTATAGTAAATAGTGCGATGGTTTTTAAACTGCTATCTGAACCGAAGCCATGTAAGTCACTAGGGTCTAACGGATTCTAGCCTACACTGATAGTCCTTCCAGATGATATACCACTTAGAGACTTTTAAAATGTCCCCCATCCAGGCTGGGTTACCCAGGCATTGGTATGATACAGCTACAAGCCCCATCTTCAAAATGGGAAACAGACAATTTTTATCTACAGGCCTGCATTATAGCAAATGTATTAGAAACTATCATAAGGGACCAGCTATTAGCTAATCCAGAGAAATGTGGCCAACTGGCGAAGGAACAGCACGGATTCAGACAACGATGACCTTGTTTAACAAACTTACTGTTAGTCAGAGAAAACTGGGCAGACGGCAGGGATAAAAACCTACCTTTGAACGTCGTTTTTATTGACCTTAGTAAAGCGTTTGATAAGGTATCCTATTTAAGGCTTATTAGAATGAGGGTTTGGATTAGATCGATATCCGTGTGGTTCGATTAGGGACTAGCTACTGAGCACAAAATGAAAGGTAAATGCTGTACTGTGGAGGACGGGGGGGGGAGACGTACGGTACAGGGTACTATTCTCAGCACATTGTTATCTTCTACTATACATTAACGATCTGCCGAAAATTTTAACCTCATTTTCATCATTATTTGCAGACGATATTAGGATTTTGGAAACTGTAAATGTAAGTGACTATAGATCAGTTTTACAAGGTGAGCTACACCAATTAACTGTTTCCTAACCTCTGGAGTTTGGAAATTAATTCCAGAAGAAGCACATGGTTCATAAGTGTTAAACATCGTACTCCCTAGAGGACATAGAACTGCCTGGTGTTAAGGGACAAATGTGTTTAGGAATTATCGTCATCAACGATTTGTATGTTGAAATAAAGATACGGCCATGTCCACACAGAATTTCCTAGTTTGTGCGACGGCTGAGATGCTGTCTGGAAGCCTAAAGTGAAGCAGGTATTTGCTTTTAAGGGCCACCCTCTCTCCGATCATTCGACTTGAAGTCTGATTCAAAAAGTAGTGGAGCGGCGTTGTGAGCTACACTCCCACGGTTATCGGTGACCAAAATGCGTTCATACGCCACTCGAATTCTGCAGTCTGTATGCATCAAAGGTTTGAAATCAGGGATTTCCAGCTCCGCTAAGTATAAATGCATGTCCACCAATCCGATTGAAAATACAAGAAGTTCTTAATAGCCCTTTTACTTTTGTGAGCAACACTGCAGCGTGAAGGCAACAAACAGGACTTACCTGATCACATGTCGGCATTTTGACAGAGACCGAAGACTACCCGCCGGCAAGCCAACTAGGTCCTTTATGGTAGCTTTCGAACGCTAATATAAGTCCATTTAAAATACTCTAGGCAATATATGCTGTTATATCTACTATGATGCATACAAGTGACTAGTCCATGTTTCAAGGAGGACGAATTAACCTTGGAAAAAGTACAAAAGAACTAAATTAGCAATTATCCCGCACCCAATATCCTAACGGGGAAGCGACTTAACTTTGATATATATGTTGAGTGGCTTCAAAGTCCGTTTTCTTAACCTACTCACTCCGTCTATGATAAGTTTGCGAGGTCATCACAAGAAAGTGCACAAAGAGTTGAACTAAATACATGTAGAATTTGAATTATCAACGACTGGAACAACTTTCCCAGTCAAACAATACCAAACCTATTAAAGAACACTTCCGAAAAGATGTTAGACCTTTTCGAAAGTACCTGTATCAGGGATTAACAGGCACAAAATTCACACATCTAAGGTTTTTCGAACAACGAAGCGCCATTTCCCTGAGTTGATTCAATCTCGCTGCCTCTTAACCTTAAATTCATACATTTATCATAGGAGTTTGTCGAATTTAAACACTGCACCATGTGGCCCAACTTCATCTAGGATGGCATTTTCTTATCCAAAGTATAACTGAGTCTTTTAAAAGTTATTCATTTGGTTTTTTTAAAAATAAACAGGTAACCATCATGACTCTGCATAAATACAACTTACTAACACAGCCCAAATACCCTGTGAGGATAGTGATGGTTGTCCTTCGACTTTTGCGAAGAGTACCGTAACTTCCGAAATCGGCGGAATTGGCAAACTCACACTTTATCGAATTCAATATTCATATTTCCGCCATCCATTCGTAAGTGAAGGATGGTTTAGTAGGAAGATCTATCTTGCTTGTGAGTAAGGCTCAGTAGTCTATCCCTTCGAGTGTGTGATTCTATCAGTAGGTGAGCACAGGAATGGAGAAAGCGTTTATATCGGCTAGTTACAAAAGTGAACGAGATTGGACGTGAACCGTGTGCAGCAGTTTAGCAGCACTGCTGTGTTGAGTACGTAACAATGTGATTGTACACTTTTTAGGTACTTGTATAAATTCGAGATATTGTACATAATTTTTGTTTAAATCGCTTCTTGTTGAAATATACATAATTTCCGTGTACAATTGAAAAATACACTCTGCTGTTGGAGACTTCGTCTTCTCCCTGGTCACTTCTACTTACTTGCTCCACTCACACCGTGTTGTATACTTCGGATTTATTGTAGGAGCCTACTACTTTCAACCGAAGACATTTCTACAACCGGAACACAGCAGCTACAGCAGACGCAGTCCAAACAGTTAACGTGCCTGTGGATTATATAATTAATTTGTAGCCGAGGACTTACACTTTATAACCAAGTAATCCTTTTTGTTGCTATAACTCGTCACTGTATTTTTGGTAATATATTGTGATTTAACACTCCACTGACTTGGATTATTACTTTTATACTTGGAATGTTAGTGAACTCTAATATTAGTCCCCTACAAATTAATTGGTGAGCCCGATAAGAACACGGATTATTTTGGCATATTTATATTCTTATTTTTGCTATTTTTATATTCATTGTGATTTTGTGTGTGGTTTATATTTGTATCCTAATTTGCACCAATAACCTCATATTATAATGTCATCACCTCAGTCCGGTACATCAAACGAGCAGACAACTAATAGCGAGACAAATGCCACAATAAATGCCATCACTGATTTTCGTTTACCCCAATACGGTTTCGCAGAACCAAGGATTTGGTTTGCGGTAATTGAACCGTTGCTAGAAGCACGGGGCATTAAGTCCCAAATAGCCAAATATGGTATGGTGCTGGCAGAACTCCCTCCGTCAGTATTGACAGAAATCAGCGATTTCATCGAAGATCCTCCGACGGAACATCAATTTGATAAACTTAAAGCCCTCCTCATACAACGTACCAGTTTGTCGGATGAGAAAAGAATCCAACAATTGCTCACAGGCTGTGAACTAGGCCCACGTAAACCATCCCAGCTGCTCAGGCACATGCGCCAGTTAATCGGACATCATAAAGTAGACGAGGTAGTGCTGAAACAGATGTGGTTGCAACGTTTACCTAGAAATGTCCAGCAAATTTTAATCATCTCAGGAAAGTCGTATGACTTAGACCAACTAAGTGACATGGCAGATAGTATTTTGGATGTTTTATCCGATAACACCATAAGTCACGTAGCATCTGATAGTGCCACACCGTGTCATTCCACACCCACGGCAGACACACCGATACTCGCCGCCATTGCAGACTTAGCGGCAAGGATTGACAATTTGGAAACTAATAAGTCTGATCGACAAGTCCGGAGACGGAGTTCACAAAGAAGGTCACCATCACGACGACGATCCTTCTCACGACAGCGTTCTTACACGTCTTCTCGGGATAGCAATATATGCTGGTATCACTGGAAGTTTGGACGTCATGCCCTGAAATGTGTAAAACCGTGCAGCTTTAGCGAAGCCAACCAGGCTCAGGGAAACGCCTCAGCCAGACAGTGATGGCGACAGCTGTTACTGGCAAGCAAACAAGTCGCCTCTTCTATGTGAAGGATAAAACTTCAGACACTTTATTCCTGGTAGACACGGGAGCAGAAGTTAGCGTAATCCCTCCTTCACTATCCAGGCGATCTACACGGACACCCGGAAAACTGTCTCTCCGGGCAGCTAACCACACAAGCATACAGACGTATGGAGAGCAATCCCTCATACTGGATCTAGGTTTACGTCGGCGTTTCACATGGATTTTCATAGTAGCCGACGTCAGTCACGCCATCCTCGGAGCAGATTTCTTGAGTAATTTCAACCTGTTAGTTGACGTCAACAATAAAAAACTGATTGATAACAACACCCATCTAAAGATCCATGGAATTATCTCCAGCTATTCTGTCTATAATATCAGTATTGAAAGACCAGCAGATTGCCCTTTTTCCTCCCTACTTCACCGTTTCCCTAAAATTCTTAAGCCGTCGTACAACATCGAGGACGTCCCTCACACAGTTACTCACAAGATAGTTACTACGGGTCAACCAGTTCGTGCTCGTCCCGTAGATTACCCCCGGACAAATTGGCAGCAGCCAAGGCAGAATTTGAACACATGATGCAGCTCGGCATCATCAGACCCTCCAATAGTCCTTGGTCTTCGCCCTTACACATGGTGCCTAAAGCTGATCATGATTGGAGGCCATGTGGGGATTACCGACATTTAAACAATGCCACAGTTCCCGACCGTTATCCTATTCCTCATCTTCATGATTTCTCCCTGACATTACACGGAAAAACCATTTTTTCTAAAGTAGACTTGGTCAGGGCCTATCACCAAATACCAGTTGCCCAAGAGGATATCGAAAAAACGGCCATCATCACACCTTTCGGTTTGTTTGAATTTCTCCGCATGCCATTTGGCCTAAAGAACGCAGCACAATCCTTCCAACGTTTCATGGATCAGGTCACACAAGGTTTGGACTTTGTATTTGTATATATCGATGACGTTTTAATTGCTAGCTCGTCGCCCGAAGAACATACTGATCACCTCACCATCTTATTTCAACGATTTGAGCAATATGGAGTCGTCATTAACCCCAAAAAGTGCATATTCGGTGTCTCCTCTATACAGTTTCTGGGACACCACATAACCACGAATGGTATTACGCCTACGGAGGAAAAGATAGAGTCCATCAAAAACTTCCCCGAACCAGATTCACTCAAGAAGGTCAGACGTTTTTTGGGGATGTTTAATTTCTATCGGCGTTTCATTCCTTCGTGTGCCTCCATCGTCCAGCCGTTAACCGACCTCCTTAAAAATGATCCTAAAAAGTTTCAGTGGTCAGCTGAAGCACGCGAATCATTTTGCAACGCAAAAGATGCCTTATCCAGAGTCACTATGCTATCCCATATCAACCCCGAAGCGTCGCTTATTTTGTGCACAGATGCCTCCCAAGTAGCTGTAGGGGCAGTATTACAACAAAAGATGAAGGGCGAAGTCACCCCACTCGCATTCTTTTCTAAGAAGTTGGAACCGGCTCAGACACGATACAGCACTTTTGGGAGAGAATTGCTGGCCATATATCTTGCAGTGAAGCATTTCAGTTACTTACTACAGGGCCGGCATTTCACTATTTTTACTGACCACAAGCCCCTGTGTCATGCTTTCACTACTTCACTTGATAAACACTCCCCTAGAGAAGCCAGACAGTTGGATTATATCTCCCAATTTTCAACCGACATTCAGTACATCAAAGGGGATGCGAACGTGGTAGCCGATTCTCTTTCAAGAAGTGACATTAACCAGCTCCAAACGTCGGTAGACATCAGTCTTGATCGTATGGCTCAATTACAAAGAGATGACGTTGAACTCCAAACCTGCCGCAGAAACTCTTCCTTACAGCTCAAAGATGTGCCTATCCCCTTATCAGATGCAACCATAGTCTGCGATGTATCTACCGGCACTAATCGTCCATTTGTCCCTCTCAGTTGCCGAAAAGCATTGTTCGAACATTTACATTCGCTTTCCCACCCTGGAGTACGCGCCACGGTCAGACTGATCAGCGAACGCTTCGTGTGGCCTAAAATGAACTCTGACATTCGGAGATGGGCACGAGAATGTATCCAATGCCAATGCTCCAAAGTACACCGCCACACTATTACAACCCCGAAGACGTTTAAATTACCCGAAAGGAGATTTCAGCATATCCATATAGATATCGTGGGACCATTGCCAACATCAAGGGGATATACACATATCCTGACAGCGATTGATAGATTTACTCGTTGGGCTATTGCATGCCCCTTAAACGACATATCTGCTGAAAACGTTGCTTTAGTTTTTCTCGACCGTTGGGTGTCAAACTACGGTGTACCAACTACTATTACATCCGACCGCGGTCCTCAATTCCAATCGACACTCTTTCGCGAACTGACGAGACTTCTGGGAGTGAAACATATCTCCACAACAGCCTATCATCCGGCAGCGAATGGTCTAGTGGAAAGATTCCACAGACAACTGAAAAGCTCCCTGATGGCGCAGAATGATACATCTAAGTGGAGTGAATACTTACCTTTGATTTTACTTGGTATCCGATCTACTATCAAAGAAGATTTAGGATGTACACCGGCTCAACTTGTCTATGGCACCAACCTAACCTTGCCTGGACAGCTAGTCCCCTCAGCCGATTCCACAGACGTGAACATTGCCGACTTCACTAACCGATTAACTAGACAAATGCTTCAACTTCAACCAACAGCACCTCGACAATCTCCCCGACGAGATCAGATCAACAAACATCTACAAACTTGCAAATTCGTCTTCATTCGAGTCGACGCCATCAGAAAAGGATTGCAACCTCCATACGAAGGACCCTTTCAAGTTATTAAACGTTCAGACAAACACTTTACCGTGAACAAGAATGGAAAACGAGAGACTATTTCCATTGATCGAATCAAACCCGCATACACCGACAACGACTTCGAATCTACATCGGCAACTGCGCAATCAAATAATCAAACATCCGATTCCACTCCACCGGCACCAAGTCTTATCCTCCCTCCATATCAAACACGTAGTGGTCGGCAAATCAGTAAACCGGCTCGCTACGTTCATTTTGAGGACTAACAAAAGAAAAATAATTAAAAATTATTATTATCTTTTTCGTTTAGACATTATCATCATGACCGTTAGTATTTCGTCGTAAACTTTGATGTTACTATCACTATTATTTATTTATATGTACCTCACCGAAAAAACAGGTAGTGTCCTTTCCAAAAACTATTGATCTTTAATCCATATTTTTTTTAATGTTTCTTTCCC